ATACCAAGAAAGTCTTTCAGCAGCCTCAATAAATTAAACCTAGCCACCCAGCTCCCAGACTGGCAGGCTCCTACATCATTGACAGAGAAGACAGGGGAAAGCAGTTTTCCCAGATGTTTCTGTAAATGATGTGCTTTGTGCTCACAGCCATTAGCAGGTGGAGGATTTGAAGTGCGGGTAGATTGAAGAGCTCCCTCTTTTAAAAATGCATAAGCACTTTGTGAGTTTGCTAAGTCATGTTTCTCTCAGCTGGGCTTGAATTTTTCATAGGGTAGAAATACTCTGTAGTCTTCCCTCTTTCATTTCACATGAGTTGGACTACCACAGTGAAGGTTTTTGTGGAAGGGGCCACGTCCAATATATGACTTGCCTGACTGTTCCTCAATTTTTCCAAGTTGTAAAATGGTCAAAGATTTTGGACTTGAAGGACTTAGGGCAATTGAGTTTCTTGCCCCTCCCCATAAAGTCTAGAATACAAATTCCTCTCTGTTCTGAATTTTGTTTACTTTATGTATTTTAAGGTAATTTTCTATCCTAGAGGACTCATTCATTTGTGAACTTTAAGCACTGCACTAGAAGGCTCACTGCTTCCCTGAACATGCCCTGTTTCCATTCTACATGCCGGGCCCTGTCTGCTTGTAGCATCCCCCACTCCCACACCATGCAGAGATGACTCAGTACACAATGTATTTTCCCTGAAGTTCCTGGCTGTACCACCAGTGCACTTTCTAACTTACTCCATTCATAGCTCAATATCAGTTATATAGTATATTGGGGAATGCATAATAGTATCTGGCAAGCTCTAAATCTGTTTTCTTTATGCAAAATATTCTGCATAATAATGTCTGTAGTAGGACCAATATATTTGAATAAATGTGATAATTGAGCTACACAAATTATGCACTGGCCTTTATTATCATTAACTTTTTGTATTTTAGGGAAGGGTCTACAGGGTGTTCAGGGTCTCACTACTAGATTGGAATCGTAGTGATCCGCCTGTTTACAACCTCCCAAGAACTGGGATTATAGGGGTACACTACCACGTCCAGTCTCAAATGCTGTCTCAGTGAGCCCCAGGAACGAGGCTGGCAAGGCAGGTCCAAAGATTGAACACCCGGCCCCTGCGCCTACTTGCAGTTGCTTTAATGCACTGAGCTATCCGACCAGCCCTTGCAATAATCTTTATATTAACCATTTCATTTAGTTTTCTTAAGACACCTGTGGAGAAGAAACTTTTAATTGCTTTATTTTTCAGATGAGGCAATGGTTTCAGAAAAGTAAAATAATTTATCCAAGGTCTCAAGCCAACAGTTTATGAGGCCTGACTCTAGAGGCTGACATATGCTCTACCATGAGATCAACTCGATATAATTTGATACATGTATTTGCGTCTTTCATTCACTCAGGAAGCATTCACCAAAGCCATATGATGTGCCAGGCACCAAAAATGCTACAATATCCACCAATTCAATGGCTTATTAAAAATACAGTAGAGCTATTAGGCTTTTAATCAGCAACTAGTTGATAATCCCCTCCAAAGGCAATAGATTTTCTGCTTTCTTTAATATCAATACATCAGGCTTTTCTTAGAATGAAATGGTTTTCTCCCGACATCTGGCTAATCAATTATAACCTATTTTCTCCCCAAATAGAATTAGTCCAGCCAGTATTGAAACCTCAGCAAATTGGAAGCAAATGTATGGTGCAGTTTAAAGCAGGAAGGTATCTATGGTGCACAGCAGTTTTTTGTTTCCTATAACTGGAGGGATTCTAGGATACCCAGGGTGCAGAACTGACCTTTCATAGGTCTTTCCTCATATTCAGGACCTATGAGCACACCTCAGTGGAACTGCAAAGGCATAGGGCCTCCTGGTACTTACATCACTTTTACATTCTGTTTAAAAATCTCTGCTTATGGTTAAGCTCTATGGAAGATGGTATTCAGGCAGACATGTCTTTTAGAAAAAGAAATGTAACAGTTGCTTTTCAACTTGACTGTTTTACAAATTTCATGACTCTTCAAATAGTACTCTACCTGGACTGCATTAATATCATTCTCTTCCTTGCTTTCAAACTAATGTATGGACCTCAGAAAATATCTTATGAATTATCTTGCCAAAATAGTAAAGCATTCAAATGTACTCATAAAACATTGAAACATGTGGTCGTATGACATACAACACTAACATTAAGTTGTTCAATTTCCCTTTAATAATGATAGTGCCTAAAACAAGTGACTTGCCCAGAAGCTGCAGGATTCCAGCTGACACTTAAATATGTGCTCATCCCAGCAGTTCAAAGAAGAGAAAGCTATAGAATTGCCAGTTTCTTGGCAAGGTGGATAGTAGAAGGCTGCATGCAGTTTACTACATGAACACACCAGGATTCCTCATTATTAAAATGACTTTTAAAGAAGACTAGGGTTTCCTTGGGAGTCCATTGAATGGGATGACTTCCTACAGGGCTTGGATTTCTACTCATTCAGGGTTCGTGGCCAAAATATTTTGTTGTTGTGCTTTAAGGTAATAGGCAAGTGTGTCCTAGAATAAATGCACTTGTATCTTTCCTTTCTCTTTTCTGTAATTCCCTTCTTTATTAATATTATATTCTAGGTCTAGTCTGATGGTGCTTGATGTTCTTAAACCCAACTCACTGTAATCGTTTCTCAACTGAGTCACATTAGCACAGGGATGGCCATGTTTTGGGAGGCAAAGGCACGTTCTGCCAATTGAAGGTGAGAAATGATCTCAATCAACGCTGGCATTCAGAAGCCTTTCTCCACTGCTGATATTTTCAGTCACCAGCTGGCCCATGTTGAGTGGCTCTCTGTTGCATGGAAGATATTTACTGTATTTGTAATAGCCTGATATAACTAGAACATTTCTGCTGTTGAGATTCCTTTCAGCTAATTGGATTGTTGTGTTTAATTTAATGGCTATATAAATACAATGATTACTCAGCTGCATTTTAGAAAGTGATGTTAAACACTGGAGATGAGTTACAGATAGTTCAGGACCTGTGATTCACAGAAACTTTTTATCTCCTCCCTCTGGAAAAATGCATCAAGATAAGCTGTTTTAATTTTTTCGATCATTCAGACATGTAAACAGGTATTATACAAGAAGAAAAGACATAACTTTTATAATAGTTTCCTTTCTGAGTTTCTTGTATTTCGACCATATTAGAAATGGGAATAATAATAGGATCTTGTTATAAAGGGACCAAATATTTATGACAATTAGACATAGTAAAACTAGACTAGGTTTTCTTTAAAACATACAGTGATAATACATTATTCTTTCCTTAATATTAGTAGCACAAAATACCAAATTACTTTTGTATTTTTCATGGATTCACTACAATAGAATATGTGAAAGTTCCTGCTTATATGATCACTATATAGTATTACGTTTATGACTTTGAGGAGACTGTAGTTCTTCAGAGGGTGGAAAGCCCAGAGCAAAGACTTATGTTTATAAAGTTCCTCTGTGGCTTCCTTGTGGGTTTTTCTAATTCATGGAACCACCAACTATGTGTTTGAAAAATTGCTGTTTTCAAATTGCTGAATGCAGGTTCATGACTCAAGACTTAAGAAAATATAGAGAAAGGGATTCACAGTTGCTTAAAAATAACAGGGAATTTAGTGGATTGTACAATTTAAAACCCTACCAACAAGAATAGATTTAGTTGTGGCTGGATCCAGGTACTAAGTTGTTATTGAGATATACTCTTACTGAAGTTCCATTTCCTGGGATGGCAATGAATACTTTACAATGTCCTCCTTAGGTAATTTATGGTCTGGTAACTGAGATGCATAAGACAAAAGAAAATAATTAAAATAAGAGGCTTTTTAAAAATATAATCATACCCGCCAGGAAAAAAAGGCAAATATTTCTGCAGAAATGTAAATGACTCCAGAGAGAAGTTGAAGCTTCAACAATGTTTTCTAGGAGAAGCAAGAATTTTGTAGTCAGCTAAAATACAGACTAGGAGGGCCAGCCAAATAGCTCAGCACATTAAAGTGCCTGCAAGCAGGTGCAGGGGCTGGGGTTTGATCCCCATCCCCTGGGGCACGCTGGCAATTGAGACTGGGCATGGTGCCACTCACCCGTGATCCCAGTTCTTGGGAGGTTGTGAACAGGTGGATCACTACGAGTCCGATCTAGTAGTGAAACCTTGAACACCTTGTAGACCCTTCCCTAAAATACAAACAAATTTACAAAATAAATAAAAATAGGGACAAAATGGTAACTGCCTTGGTTGTGACTTTGGGAGACCTGTATTTACATCTTAGCCCTGCCACTTTCAAGTCCTGAAAACTGCAGCAAGTTTCTCAGATTCTCAGAGGTCTTAGTCTTCATGTATGGCCATTTGAAATAGAACTGTTGAATGTATACAGTTATCAAGAGGATCAGGGAGAGCACAGTCTGTGGATGGGACTCAGACAAGGAATTCCTCCTTCCCTGGCCTTGTCATTCCATACCTAGAGCCTCCTCCCTGTAGTACTTGTCTGCTATCACATGGGGTTTTGGATTAGCACTTGGATTGGGGTTTAACCTCAGCCATGGTAAAGCTGGATAGCATTTACTGAGTGCTCACTCTATGCTGAAGAGTACATTTCATTTGACTTGCCTCAGCCTCCTTTACAACTCTAGAAGTACAAAAATGATCTTCATCTCACTGATGAGGAATCTGAAGCTGTAAAAATTCAAAGCACCTGCCAAAGTAACAAGGTTGACACATGGTGTAGTTTGGTATTTCTTTCTAAGGTATCGGTGGGTTTCAGCATTATGCTACCTATTCTATGTTACACATCACAGCATTGCCATCTTCCTGCCCTGTAGGACTTGGCTTCTGGGTGCTGCGATTGTAGCCCACCCTGTGTTCGTCCTGCTTCATCTAAAAGCCTTGTGGTGTGATACCTGTGCCTGTGGTTGTTGCTGCACTGCTTCTACAAGCTGAGCTGGCATTAATCCCCTGTGTCTGTACTTCCCCTGCAGGTGAGCCTTCCAGGTGGTCATCCTCCCATTGTGACTGCTGCTGCAAGAATGGCAAGGGTGACAAAGAAGGGGAGAGTGGCACATCTTGCAATGACCTTTCCACCTCCAGCTGTGACAGCCAGTCTGAGGCCAGCTCCCCCCAGGAGACAGTCATCTGTGGGCCTGTGACACGCCAGACAAACATCCAGACTCTGGACCGTCCCATCAAGAAGGGCCCAGTGCAGCTGATCCAGCAGTCAGAGATGCGACGGAAAAGCGATCTACTCCGGACTCTGACTTCAGGCTCTAGGGAGTCGAACATGAGCAGCAAAAAAAAATCTGTTAAAGAAAAGCTCTCCATTGAGGAAGAGCTGGAGAAATGTATCCAGGATTTCCTAAAGATCAAAATTCCAGATCGTTTTCCTGAGAGAAAGCACCCTTGGCAGTCTGAACTCTTACGGAAGTATCATCTATAGGGGAGGGCTGGGGTTGGGAGAAGTAAAAAACAAAAATGAAAACAAATCAAGTTACCATTTTGAAGTAAATCTCCCAAAAGAAATTCATATTTTAAAGGAAAGATAACTAATGATACACACTCGTTAGAACCCAATAGTCCATTGACATACACTACTGCCTACTTTTACCTTGTTCACCTTAACATGTAAATCCACAGGGTAGATTTCTTTCCAGATGTGGAAATACAAGAAAAAAAAATGTTGTTGTTGTTTGTTAACTTGGTCCCATGTGCTGAGTATCTTCTACACAATGACAGCCAGCTACGTGAGAGTAGCTGACAGACCTGGGGAGTCATTTATCTCAAACTGGGCTTTTTCTCTCATTTTCTACCTCCCTCCCTTGATCAAGGATATGTGGTAGAAAGAGATCTGGCCAAGTGGAATAGGTTTAGTTTTTTATTATTATTCTCTTCCTTTTCTTTTGTTTATGGGGTGAGGGGAATTGGCAGATTTATATGATTTTTCACTTAAAACTATATGTGCCAGTTTATATTGACTCCGTATGCATGAGTATTTGTGCAACACAAGCACAACCGTAAGTCTGTATATACACACAGTGCACATGATCCAGGGTTTGGACACCCTGAGGGCTAAGGGCTGTGCTCCTGTTGCCAGCATTGCTTCCTGGAGCCCTTCAGACAGATGAGCCTCTGCCTGTTTCTTGCAATGCTCGCTTGTGGGCAGATTTCCCAGCTTCTCTTGGCAACACTTTCTCACATGGAATAACCCTCATCATCAACAAATTGTCTTCCTCATTTTAAAATTAATACCCTCAGGCTCCATTTTGTGACTTTGCTCTTTCTCTGCATTAGGAGAAGTGAGAAGAGCTAGTCAGACATTCTTTGTGTTATACAAACAAACATTCATATTCATAAAAATAACTGCTGGATGAGTTGAATCATCACCCTCCTCTCAAATGTTTCAGAGTTCTTACAACATGTCACTGGCGTGGCCTTTCTACACAATCCACACAAAGCTTTCTGTATTTCTGTGTGGTTGTGAGCTAAGAACAGCATACCATATTTGAATAAAGACAGAGGTTTTATTTCTTTTAAAGGAATTGCTTTCTACACACCTCCTAATAATTTTTCATAAGAACTTTAAGTTATGATGCTACATTGCTACTTGCTTGTAGCTAGTGTTGGTTGGCCTTCAGGATTCTGGTATTTGGCTGTGTCCACATTAACACTTAGTTGTGTCATTTCTATGACGTCCGTGACAATCCAACTAGGTACCTGGAGCTCCAAATAAGATTTTGGCTTTCTAAACTATCTTCTTCAATCCTATCCTTGACTGTATGGGCACAGCCAAAATAAAAAATGTTAATAGCCATCCATCCATCCATGTGGCTTCATGTTTTATTAATGCACCAACAGCTAGGTTTTTTTTTTTTTTTTTTAGAAGCTGTAAATGAAGGTTAAAATACCAATTTTAATTTTCAGGATTCCTCACGAATTTCAGTGAATACTGAAAAATAATTTGTCAGTTATTTTTTTCTTTATTATGTGCCAAGTACTCTGATTTTTTTTTGTTGTGTGTGTCTGTGTGTGTGTGTATGCATGTGTGTATGCCAAAGTTAATAAAGACGGATGATGGCTGTCGGAAGAAGAACTAACAATCACTTTTCTTATTTTTGAAATCTTTTACTGATATGCATTTACTATGTAAAAGTTTTTTATGGTTTTATGTTATTAGTGCTTGTCAGTGTATGAAAACTTTTCTAAAGTTTTGTAATTTTTGCCCTTACAACTGGGCAATTGACTGAATATTTCTTGTCCTAATGATTCAAATGGAGTTTAAACTTCCACTTAGGTTAAAAAAGAAATTTATTTTAGGAATTATCAAGATAATTTATAATTTATGAATTTAAGTGATTTTATGTATCAATATATTAGTAGATATTTGATTTTAACTATACCATAGCTTTGCTTGTAAAACTTATGTTTATATCTTCATTATTTTCACTGTCTTATGATACATCAAAATACCATCACTTTAGTAACAGAAAATTTTTCAAAGAATCACAGAGCTTAATGAGTTATGAAGAAATTGAATTTAAAACTTGATTCAGTACTTTTTGTATCCTCATTGGCAGGACTTTAAAAGAATTTGGAGTTTAGGCAAACTGGAAAGAGCTCCAACCTCCTTAAATTTCATACCTAATTATAACGGCATCAAGATAGACACACACACAAGAACTGAAGAACAGAGTTGGTAGCCAACCTACATTTTCTACTGTGTACATCAAATAAGAAATTAAATACTGCCAGAAAGGCATTCATTGCACTGGTCCTTCAGCTCTTGGGCTGTTATGATGCCTTTTCTGTGCAAGTATTCGTTATGTGCTCAGTGAGCAAAAGTAGTGGTTGGTAGTCTTTTAAAACAACTACAACAACAGAACCCTTATTCTTAGCTGACTCTAGGCTGACACCTTCCCCCTTGTGAAAATTCTAATAGTTAAGACAACAACTATATGGGTGTTGGAATAGAGACGAATATTAGCTAGGTCAGTGAGAGGCTCTGAGGACATTCTGAGTTTTCTACTGTGGTCCAGGTTCCCTGCACCAGTGGAAATAAGTTCTGGCTATGTGAGTAATGAGAGTAAACACTCTCATAGTCAGGGTAGTCATTCTTGTTTCACTGAATTTCAAGCAGTTTTGGAACTTTTAGTTCAATTCTGGACAAAACCATATATGTAGTTCACTTCTTGAACATTGGTTATGACAAGGACAATGAACTGTTGATCTGAAGAAGCTGGTAGTATCAAATGGGTCAAATGAATGGGGATTCTTATTATAAGGACCCCATTTAGGGTGTCTCCTAGGAAATTCCAACAGTGCTAAACCTAGTGAGCACGAGAAGGCCTTTCCCTAAGGCATTTAGGTCCCCTGAGTCAAACACATTGATTAAGTCCTTCTAGCTACTATAAAAAAAGTAATCTACATTCAGCACAAAAACAGGCAGGAAAATAAGAATAGCAGATCATTTCTCTGTATACTAAGAAATGATTGTATTGAGATATGGTCACAAAAATGTAATCTGGCTTTCAAAGTAGTGTTCACAGATGTTTTCCTCTGAAATGATAGGCACAGATACCTTACTGGAAATGCCTAAGTGGCAATTTAAAATGGAGAGAGAGAGAGAGAGAGAGAGAGAGAGAGAGAGAGAGAGAGAGAGAGAGAGAGAGAGCGCATGGGGGGCAATGCTCTCAATAGAATATCTTTTGCTCTTCCTTCATAGTTATGTCTATTCCAACTGATTCACTCTGGCATGGGCGGGGGTAAGAGGGGAGCACAGTGATTACAGAGGGCTGACACAGAATTTTTTAGCTGGGGGCACCTTTATTCACAGGCACAGATGTGTTGCTCATTCAGGATTCTCCTATCACCACTGCTTAGGCTTGTGAATTAATTTTACTTCCTTGAGCTTTATATTCTCCCATCCCCCGTGTATTTTTGTCAGTGCTAAGCAAAACATGCTTCAGAGAGACCAAAAAAAGGTGTTTTGCGAAATCACTTGACACTAGTTGCCTCAGAGGGAGTCCAACTTTGATTCTCAAACATCTTTTCTCCACAGTTTCAGTATTATATCGACTATAAAGGATTAACACAGAGCACTTGAGTGCTGATACTTCCTGCCTCTAAATGCATTGCTATGGAATTTAACTAATTTTGGCCTTTTAGATGATCTTTACCAGAATTAATAAGAATTTTCTCTGAAATAATTTTTGTGATATCCACTTGACATAGCAATTTTCTAAGGAAAAATACAGGGAGTTGTTTCTTTCCCCCGGGTGACACTGTGGCAGATAAATGTTTATACAATTTGTATGCTGGTGTATAGGTTTAGTATAGGCCTGTTCTCTTTAACATCTTGGTATAGTTGATGTCTTGCAATCTTTGTTTCAGCAGGCACTTAAAACACCCGAGCTAATGGGCAGGCCCTCTCCCCCAATGTCTTGCAGTCTTGATGGCCCACTGTTTCAATTTATTTATTTTTTTTATATTGTCAAAATAATACACTAGAGAAGGTCTCGAAGTGAGTGTTCTCTATTTTGAGTTACAATGGAGTTAGATGTCATTGGTACAGGCCTGTATGATGATTAATATCTGCAGAGAAATTAGACCAAATGAAACCTGCTGGAGTGGGTTTGATTTATATTCCTTTCATCCTTCTGTTCTTAGATGAAATGGTTATTGCTCTCCTCCCCTGCTGAAAGAGAAGTCTTAAACGTTAATAATCACAATTTTGTGATACAACTACAGCTTGTTTGAGATTCCTGTTTTCTGTGTGCTGCCATACACACTGGAATGAAGATTCTTTCCCTACTAGCTTCATTGCAATCATGGCAAACATCTTAATATATTTATTAAAACTTAGTATAAACAACAATCATCTAGCACATTTTAAAATGAAGATTCTCTCAATTTAACCCCAAAATTTGAGTCAGAAATTTGAACGAGGGCCAAGGAATCATCTGCAGTGTGAAATTCCATCCTTACTGAGTTTAGTGAAGATGGTCAGTTGACCTTTCTTTGAGAAACTTCTGTTTGGAGACTACGGAGAGCTCAAGGTTTCTCCTCCGTGTGGTTGGTGTTTCCTTACCTCGTCTCACTTTCTCCTCTCTACAAATAAGATAACTCAAGCCCTATTCATTATCTTAATAGAAAAGGCTCAAAATGGAACATTGGTAGGATTAGGGTATGTTAGATTGTATCATGATCCCTTTGTGGTTCTTCTGCATCTCAGCCAAAATTCCTTCCCCACAAGGTGTCTACTTGTGGCCCACTCCCATCCCGTTACTATAGTTGTATGCCCAGGTAGGTGGCAGTACATCTGCAAATGAGGCCTATTCTAATGATAACAAGGAATAAAAATAATCATGACCTTTCCCAAGGAGAGCTGTTCATTTTCTTACTCATTTTGAGTCTGAGAAACTTGAGAGTCACCCCAACTTACATCTATGTGAATATGGATTGATTAGTGAATTCAGGTTTATTTTGTCAATAATGTGCACATTATTGTGACATTATGAACCATTGAAATAGTTATTTTTTTCCACTTTGATGTAGAACTATGAGAATCTCAGATAAGGAAGTTCTTAAACTCCTTCTAAAAAATTTGAAGTAAAGGCTCCTTTATGAAAGTAAATGCAAAGGAAACAAAGAATGAATTCCAAATGGTATTATTCTAATGACACTGAAGAAAATGAAGACCTGTAATCTTTCAGTTACTCTGGTCTGAGGAGTTGGCCCTGTCCATTTAACAAAGTAACAGAACAGAAGCCCAAATCCCACATTACAAGAAATAGAGAATAGATGGTTTAAATAATAATGAATGATAATTCACTAACTATCATGATCGTTAGTGAATATTTAATTAAAGATTACTGACAAAGCAAATAAAGGAATAGCTCACAAAAGAGATGAACTTGTGCATCTAATTAAGATTATTTGGTTAATATAAAAATGAAACAAATTTGATTTGTTTTGTTGCTGTCTCTTCTCTCCTTCCCAAGTGAGGTCTCTTACTACCCCACTTCCTGCCTTTAAAGAATGTTCCTCTTACTTGTGAACAAATTGCATTGTTAATTGGGTAATTAATTTTAAGTTCAAGACCCCCATCATTGCTTTATTGAGGGGAATTACTTTAAAAAGGATAAAGAAAAATGGGTCCTGCCCCAGCAATTATCAGGAGGACAGTCTTGGAGGAAGGTGAAGGTGATTTTCCTGTTAATCAACCTTTAAAAGCACCTCCAAGAGACTTAGTAAGTCTCCTTTCTCCAGTGATATGTTCATTTAGCCAATTCATTCTTAGAATTGACCTTTAGCTAATTTATCTACATTTGTACAATAAAAAACTAATATAACTTCAGATCCTCCTTGATGTAGGTT